TACAAAATGCTGCAAGAAGATACACTTGATCTGTGCAAATGGAGACAACAAGCCAGTTTGGCCCAACTGGAATCTGAGAAAATACAAAAATCACACACAGTGTAAGATTTAATATAATGTACCGGTACTTTAATAATATCCAATGCAAAACTGCAGGCAAAAGAGCCACAGATTTTTCTAGCAATTCTCTGACAGAGTGTCAACACACAGTTCTGCTTAAGGGCATGAACTCTGCAGTCATGCCATTGGAAATACATGTGTACCTGTGGAGACTATCATGTGTACAGAAACTACATGAATGTAAAGAAATTACGATCTAAGGTTGCTATTCTGGTGCACCAGCTGAAGAAAATTACAGACCTTATCTTCAACTTCACTAAGGAAGCGCAACACACCATTACATGTACATGTAACTAAGCTCAGAAAGGACTAAGACTTCAAGATTTTGCCCATCAACAAAATGTTCAAGTGAATCTCTTCTTAATGGTAAGGCCGCACAGAAAATAGGGTATTCAGTTACATGTAGTGTGGGAACTAGGTACAATGTACCTGATTCCCATAAAGGGTGGCTACCAGGGTACTCGTGATCATTATTAAATCATAACAAAAAACGGAAGTCTAGAAATAAAGTATATTTCAATGCGTCCCCACCTACTACAAGCTGCTGGCATGCATTCAGCAACTAGCAAACAAATTGGAACAGGCTTACTTTACAACTTAAACTACGTGTAAGTAGACATGGCCATGCATGGAGGGCGAGAGAGGGTTTCAGCCGGAAAGAGTGCCACATACTGGTATGCTGGTACAGACAACACTAATTTTCCCTTGTTATAACAGCCATCAGATGTCACATGATCAAGTGCGCCATAGTCAATTCAAGTTAGATTCTTGTGAGCTTTCACAAAATACAGGTGCAGCTATTACACAGCTGCTCGTGGCTCCTTTTGCTTTTCTTCTCCCTTTCTCTCTCTTTTTTTTTTTTTTTTGGTATTCTACAGACAAGCTTGTCAAATGCTGACATCGGCTACAGCTGCAAACTGGCAGGCCACTGGGCAAGAGAGTTTCAATTCACAGTTGACAGTTTCACAAGGGTCAAACCAAAAATCTGCGCCTTCCATTGATTACATGAGTTTCTACAACAGAAACACACCGTGGCAAGTCCCAACCTCCCAGCATCCAACCTTGCAAGCTCCTTGCATGTCCCAGCCATCACTACTTCCTGCCAGGACCCTCTAGTTTACAAACTTAGAACACATGTTTGGGGATGTTTGGAAGGTACATGTACATGTATCATGTAATTATGATTCTTGTGGCATGGAAGATCTAAAATCTGATAACAGTCAAATGCAGATTGAAAAGTCACGCTGATTATTGGAAAGGAATTGCTTCTTCTCACATGATACTGTCTGCTATCACTGATGGCTGTTATACCATTTACTGAAATGCCTCTTCCAATGTTTTTCACAACAATAATTCAGCCATGAAAGAAAAATCCTTTGTGACAGAATCAATTCTAGAATTTCTCACATCTCTGAGAATTTCTGAGAAACAAGAAGCCTCGTACTTTGTGAGTCCATTATCAATTTTCGGGAAAGAGAATGCTGATTCTTGACCTCAGCAACTTGAAAAAAAAATGTGCAAAAGATTCACTTTAAGCTCGATGATTAAAACGCACTTTTATTCAGTTCTGATTTACATCATATTGGCATTTTTGTATACTCTCAGAAGTATTTTCCATTCTCATGGAAGATTCATGGCTATGTCAGGTACACGTACATGTACTTTGAATTCATCTTGCTTCCTTTCATGCCTTTTGGCCTTTCGTCAGCCCCCTGGTGTTCACAAAACTACTGAAACCACTTGTGACCCACTAAAGAGCTTCTGGTATTCATATTTCATTGTAGAAGTACAAGTTTACATGTAGATGATGGATTTATTGTGGTTTCTAATAACTCATCTCATAAAAACCTGAAGTATGCCCACACAAATCATTTACAACATCCAAAAGAGCAAGTAGAAAACTGACCCATCGTACTGAATGGTTGAGTATGATCTAGGATACAAATGCTGGTACACTTAAAGTTCATGATCTAGACGTATTAACCACTTTGTGCCAGGGCATTTTTCAACGTTGATGATGCTGGGCCGGCATGACTATCATTTTTTCCGTTTTCAAAATCCTTCAAAAATTCATCATTCCATTTAGCGGTCGTTAATAGCCGCACGAAGTAATCTTTAGGCACTACTCTAAGTTGACAGGTGACCTTCATTGGCGCACGAGTATTTCAGCCAGGCTTGCAGCCTTGCAAACAGAGCCCAGATTGTGCGATGTTATACAACTGTATTTTGTTCACGAACCTGGCTCAGTGCACTGCTGACCTCTTTTCAATAGGGGCCAGATTAACATGCAGCGGTGCTGTGTGGCTCATTGCTGTGGTAGTGGAGCACTTTTGTCCCCGGTGGTAATCCGCTTGCTTTCAATGCCCCAAACCCTGGTATACGGTTTCAAAACAACGCTGGATTATCACCACTTTTGAGAGTGAAAAATGCCTGTAATGCCCAGCAGCCTGGTCTTTTGTTCGGAGTACGGTCTTTTGTTACAGGGCCCTGTTTCCTTTGTCCGAGTTCAGAGACCCCGGCCAAGCATATAAACCATACAGCTCCGATTTCAGAGTCCCCGGCAGGTACATGTAGTGGTTAAAAAACTGATAGGCCACCTCAAATACATGTAGAACAAGCTGAGTCTCTTACCGGTATCCATATGTACTGTATGTAAACTGCATTCTTTGGTTGACCAAATCATATTTTTTGACCCGGTGCTTGGAAACTTAACCTGACACATGACAAGACAAGGTTGAAATTGTTAAAGCCTTACATGAAGATAATTTGATTAAGCTACATGTACATGTAGACGAACCATGTATCACTAAAATCCAGTTTTGTAAAGAGAATGTGTTGTCATTGAATGAGCATAATATATCTGCAACCTGGAAAGTGAAGGGGCAATCACATGCAATGAAACGCACACAGCTTGTAAGCTCTGGACAAAAAATGAATCGTGGAAAACATGACGAGAACTTGATGCTACACATTTGCTGTTTGTTTCTTTTATACCAAAACGGTTATTTCTGGTTCTGAACTAAAAACCCTCAAAGACAGAGTGCAGAGTGCCAATTCTATGGTATACGTACAATGTACAGACCTTAGATAAAAGGGTTGTTTGCTATTGCAGGTTGCACAGCATTAATTAGAGAGATAAGAAAATTTATCCTATTTGTGTACACCCTCTTTTTTGTTAATGCATCAGATCATTTACCCACAATGCCTTTGGTCTGAGCACTTTGGATGGGACAAAGAAACATATCTTTCAAGAAGCTATGTAATTTAGAACACAGGGTACAATAAATGCTTATTTAACAGAAAGTAAGTTTGCGGTAGCACCA